GCACTCCAGTTTCGAAGGGTCCAGCTCGAGCAGATGGCCTGAGTACGAAGCTCTCGTACTCGAGTCTAGAGTGTGAGCTTTTTTCTTCTTTTTTTGTCACTCCTTCACTTGGCTACTTTTTTTGAGGTGCATTTTTTACTTGTGGAAATTGTCACCTGTCAGAGAAGTGTTGGGATGTCCCTTCCAGCAGGCACTGCCCATGCCCATGGTCGGCTTCGGAAAAAGAGTAGAATCAAAGCGTTGGAGTCTATGTGGATGTCTTGGAAGGAATGGGGGACGGCACAGACGGGTACGTGAATATGTAAAACCTGAGTATTTTGAATTTTCGTTGAATTGGTTCAAGTGACTTGGCGAGTCCATTCCACAGTAGAACGCCATCCTTCGCAAAATTTGTCTGACTATTTTGTCAAGAATGGCCGTTCTATAATGATCAATCGACTCTGAAGCCAGTGGATTGTGGAGGTCGCCCTTGAATATATTGAAATGGTCACGAATGTACGAAAGTAGTTTTTTTTTTTTTTTTTTTGATTCGAACATGTACTGGACAGCGTGGTTGCATTGTGTCAGTAGAGGGTACTACTGTAGTATCTCACCATTTCTTTATGGTAATCGCTGTCCACGAAGAACTCTACTATAGTTATTGCCACGGCTTGATCACAGCGGTACACTGAGTTTTTGTTGAGAAATTCCTTCAATTTATTGTCTTATCACTCTGACTAGACTCAGTGCTTGAGCGTTTTATTTAGGATGCATTTTTTAGAGATTGATTTACCAGTATGTGTTTCACATCACTCCTGACGAGAATAAGCATTTGAAAGCAACACTGGCTGACAGCAATCATGCTCCCCAGGCTCAAGTGTGTGTGTGTGTGTGTGTGTGTGTGTGTGTGTGTGTGTGTGTGTGTGTGTGTGTTACAATGGTGTGCATGGCAATTTGGTAGAGTATGTGTGAACACAAAGTCCACTATATATTCACAAACTCAAGTACATCGCAAAATTATGCCTTCGTATCTCATATTGTGCCTTCATAACTTTGACTAGCCCTAACCTGCTGTCTGACAGGTGTGTCATTGGTGAATGAACATGTATACTGTCTCCCTTCACAATTACATGCATGTAACACAATATTTACAGTGCACTTGCAGTGTATATAGCTAGATCAATGCACAGTAATCAGTAAATTGTGGCTGCCTCTGTCACATTGTCATATTCACGCGAAGTACATTCTAAATCATCGAAAATGCCCAAACCTATTTCTACGTGTGGAGAAGAAGATTGAACACATTCTTTCCTTGCATCTGCGCCTTGATCCTTGAAGGATGATGGCGTTCATACAGATGCGGAAAACTCGGCCTGTAGCCGAGTCTGACGCGAACCGTGAATTTTTTTCCTTGACATTGGTTGATGGCGTCAGTCACATCTAAGAGTGACACTCTATCTCAAACATATTTACACAAAGAAGTAGTAATCTTATCTTCATTGGAGCGATGGTCTGCAGGCGTGCGATCCTGTGTGTGCCTTGTGTGTGTGTGTGTGTGTGTGTGTGTGTGTGTTTAGTCACTGTTTACACGCACGTTTGTGCGTGTGTGTGGTGGGTGTGTGTGTGTGTGTCTGTCTGGCCTGGTATGAGGTTGCTCAGGATAGGTCTGCCTGGCGGGTGGACTGTCTTATCTGCCATCGGTCGTTTCGCCAGCCAGGTGACAAACAAGGCACAAATGTGGCGCAGAGCAAAGTCTCCCCATCCAGGATCAGCGTGGTGCTGTGCAGTGTGCTACATGCAGAAGGTGGTTTCACTCTCGTGGTGGCCTGCGTGTGCATCATTGTTTGCCCCTGGAACCATCGAAAGTGTCCGCGCCGGCATCATCTATTCCGCTCAGCGTCCATGCTTCTCTCTTGTGTTTGACATGCAATCGGCAATTCAAGTCAGTGCCTGGTTTCAGACGTCACATGTGCGACCGTGGCCATCGGGCAACCAAGTCTGACAGAGCATCATATTGTGTCCGCTGTTCTCGCTGCAGCCGTCAGTTCCGTCGACAGAGTGACCTGAGTCGTCATCTCCGTTTCTGCTCCTGATAATGACTCCGGCTTCTTTCGGAATGGTGTGGCCCTTGGGCAACCATGCTACAGTAGCAGTAGCAGTAGTAGTAGTAGTGTGTGTGTGTGTGTGTGTGTGTGTGTGTGTGTGTGTCTGGAGCGCCACCAGACGTGCTCTTTCTCACTCTCTGCTGCCCCTCCGGGCCCACGTGACCCTAGTGGTAGTGGCTCGACAGGACAGGTGTGTGTGTGTGTGTGTGTGTTTGCATGTATGCGTGTGTGTGTTTGCATGTATGCGTGTGTGTGTTTGTGTGTGGTATGTGTGTGGTATGTGTGTGTACACTTGTGTCAATGTGTATTGCAGGGTTGGGGTGGGCTAGTAGAGAAGAGTAGATGTATATGGACATGTACATGGGATATGTAGGTGTGCATGTACATGTAGCAAAGCTAACTTATCAAAAAGGCATTCTGCGCCTATATGGCGAAATTGAGCATTGAAGCATATGTTTTTTATTTTCTCATTGGCATGTACACAGTTAGTCCATTCAATAACCAAAAAATGAGGAAGATTGTAAATCAGGTTCTTGATGAAATACCCGTCCGCTATACATCACAAATCCTGTACAAATTTGACAATTTAGTGAAATTGTCATCGCCTATATCTCAAAAGTTAGCATTGAGACCCCGTTTTTTTTACTCGCCATTTGCATACACTACCTAAGAGCAACCGCCCACCAAATTTTCAGAGCAATCGTTAATTTTTTTGAAATAGGCGTGAGCCACCTTAAAGCCACCTGGCTAGCGCCAGATGTTACTGAAGTAACGTCTTCCGCATAGCTACGGGAATAATATGAGCTGGGCGTGGACGATCTGCTCCAGCAGTTTGTTGACCATCGGAAGGAGGGATACGGGTCTATAATTGGAGGGGTCTGTTTGACTACCAGATGTGTATATTAGACAAATGCTCGCCAGCTTGTAAACATCTGGTTCTATGCTTCTGTAAGGACTCATTGAAGATCCTGGACAGGGAAGCGCTTTTGCTGTCTGCGCAGTTGCGCAGGAAGAGAGGAGGTCGACCATCAGATCCGCTTGCCTTGGCAGCATTGAGTTTTGACAGCATGCTTCTGACGGCTTGCTTAGACACTGGCTGGAAACTGTCCAGTCCGGAGCTGAACACGGTAGTTCTGGCTTTTCAGGACGTCCAGGGTCAGTAACGACAGCTGCGAACGTTGTAGACAGCTCTTCAATGGAGGTCTTAGGTGCAATGTGTAGTTTCTTCTGTCCACTAAGGCCATTCAGTAGGGACCTTTCGCATTTGCTACGAATCGAATGCAAAACGAAAGTTTTATTCGACTCGTAATCGTTTCGTTGAAACCAGATTCACATTTCGCAAGTCGTAATGCAAATGTGCATGGCAATTACGAATACGGCCGGTAGCTTGGCGTACGGGTGTGTTCGTGCACACGTGCATGGATCATGGAATCAAGGGAAAAAAATGTGTACCTGGCATAACATGTGTACCTTGCAAAAGAAATGTGTACCTGACGGATTCGGAGCGTGCCACGAATGAAGAGGCTTCCATTCGTGAAAAAGAGTTCTCCGCGGCGACTCTGACGAATCCTCGAACCCAGGTGACGAATCAGAATTCGTATCGTATCCGTACGCGTGGTGCGAAAGGTCCCTAGTAACTCCGGTTGCAAGTCGAAACTGATCTTTATAGTATTCAGATTTGAGGCGACGGTTTAGCAGTGTGCTTTGGCGCCGTACAGCGCAGTACTGGTTGACTAATGCCTGGTAGTCAGGGTGCTTACGAGATCTTCTATGCAGGTGCTTACGCTGTTGAAGATGTTGTTTAAGGTCGAGATTGACCCATGGCTGGGGTAGAGGGTAACAATGTAGGGTTGCCCACAGTTTCCTAGGCTTGGGCTGCGTGAGTTTTTACATTCGGTGCGAGTAGTATATTGATGTACGTGTCCCTAGTGGGTAGGCTTGGGCGGATAATGCTAGCATTATAAGTAGCATTATAGTGTGCGATTTGCAACGACCATTATGCTAGCATTATAACACTACATTTCCACAAAAGTGGCATTATACCCAAATATGGAAGTTTTGGCCACTACAAAAAATGTACCGTTACATGCCTTGTACATAGAACTGCACAACCTGCTCAAGATTGTCCAAACTAAGCCATTTTCCATGCATACTATTGCGGATTTGCTGGCATTATGGAGCAATAGCAGCATAAGATTAGCATTATTAGCATGATTTTCTAGCATTTTCCATGCCGTCTACGTAGAACTACGAAACGTGCACAATACAGCCTAAACCAAGCCATTTTCCATACGCACGACTGGTGAATTGCTGGCATTACAGAGGAACAGCAGCATTATAAGTAGCATGATGATACAGTTTTTCTATCATTGCCATTAGCATTATCCCGCAAAATAACTACCATTATCCGCCCCGGCCTACTAATGGGCTCACCTAGCTCGTTTGGGAAGGTAGTCATAGCAACACCACACAGGCAGCTTTTGTGTGTCGGTCTTTATCAGATGATTTAAATAATAAGAATGGTCTCGGCCTTGGATTTATGGCTAATAAAGAACTGACCGAACTGATTCGTCCTTTGTGGACTCCCCAGTACAGCAAAGAGGAAATGATGCCGAGCCTGATAGGAATGAAAAATAAATTTTCCAAAGCCAGATTTAAAAAGAAGTCCGAACCTATCTCAAACGGACCTGTCAGTGAGCTCTGTATGACGCAAACAGCAAAGGCACTACCCCACACCAGAGTGCTCAACTGCTACAAGATCAGGAGCGAAATACTCAATCAGCGGACAGATCTATTTCGTCCTTTGTGGACTCATCAGCGCAGCACAGAGGAAATGAGGCCCATCATATCATAGGTGAGGATAATATGCCCAAGGGATCCACATCAAGTAACAAACTATGAAACTATGAAACTTACGTAGATTCTCGCAAATTGGCACGTCGTAAAATACAAATTTTGCCAGTGTGGAGTCCCATTTATACGGGGCTACTGCACCTCTTGTTGGATCGCAATTTGTACTTCTGCAGTGTGGAAAGTATCCAGATTCGCACTGGAATCTGAAACCTCTTAGATTAGATTGTCTTATAAGATCCACATTGGGGGGTACCACAATTGAAACTGAAATCATACAAGCAACACAGGTATACAGTTTTTAATTATTATAGATTAGTGCATGGCAGGGAGGACATTATCAATTTTTAGAACGAGGTTACATGCATTATCTCCCTTGCATTATGCTTGTGCAAGATCAAAAGGAAAGCTTTTTACAATAATAGTACTAATAATAAAACATAGCCTGTAAAATGTAAAGATTTACTGAGTACAGATATCCAGTATCCATGGCCAGTGTTTATAATATAAATATAATAATATTAAGGGTAGGTTCACATATCGCCAGTACGCACCGGGAGTCACCGGGAGTGGGCCTCTTGCAACCTCTCCCGGCGCATTGCAATTACTAGTATGTGAACCAGTGCAATCGTAACAAAGTTGGACAGTGCCGAACTCTTGCGATCTGCCCCGGCGCCGATCCCGAAGAATTTTGACCAAAAGTGGTTTGTGAACCGTTCGCGCCGGTAATTGCGGCTGCCAGACTTTGTCAAAATATCAAACCAATACTTATTTTTTCTAAATTGAAGCTAGAGAGGAGGTCCGTTCGCCATTTTTGTAGTCGCTTCAAGGTGGCAAATAAGTCAGCATACCAGCCCTTCCTTCTCGGATGATCTGCTTGACCATTGTGCAACTTATGAGACAAATACAATTGAAACAAATATAAAATATGATGGATACATTGACAAGTTCTTGTGACTTCATCAACGTTTGCAAGCATAATTTCGACACAATCGCTTACTAGACTGCAAATACAATGTGTAGAAGAAGATCTCCAGTAAAAAGTAGCACCGAGTGGCCATCACCGAAAAACCTTGAACTACTGAAGAAACAAAGAATCATTTGGGCTCATTCTGTACTACTTTGTAGTGGATTTGGTGCTCGAACCGTATGCGCAACGGATCGGGAGCTGGCTCACCGCCGATGTCTTGCGGTGCCGGTTTTGCTTATGTGAACCTACCCTGATAGATTCTCACATGCGAGCAGCCTGGGCCTCGGCGACAACCAGCTCAGCAGACTTCGGAAGCCGAACCGATCACTCATGGTAAAGACCTCGTGAACCCCACAAACACATGATGCATTATCACAACAGGGCAAATGAAAGACGGCACCTGATGTAAAATATTACTTGGGAGTACTGCTCCATCCTCCTGCTATTTCTATCTGTCCATCTCTATCTATCTCTCTCTCTCTCTGCTATTGCCGCGCCTGGATGTGATGAAGCCGACACCCAAGGTCGGCAGAGCATCCCATGACACGTCACCACTCCCCATATTCATGGCTCATACATGACGGGTTTACGTGGCTCTAGTAAAACCATAAAACTAAATAAATAAAGAGTGAAGGGGAGAGGGTGCTGTGTGCAAGTGGTGTAAAAATATTCATTATTGTAACTCGAGCGCCTAAATCCCGGGTGCACTAGCACGGAACAAAGGCCTGAGATGATAGCGTATGCCTGGCGTCAGGGGTGCAAAAAAAGCTCTGTGCCAGAACTTTGCAGCGCAGAAAGGGTGTGTGGGTAAGCGCGTGTTTACCGCCATATTGCCAGGTGTGTGTTTACCACCATATTTTATCATTAAGCTGGACATTATCACTGCGGACAAAAGCATACTGCTGAATTCGCGGCGCGAATTCGTCTCGAAGTGCAGGCACAACAGCAAGTACATGCTAGCAAAGTGTACGGGCGTTACATAAACTCTAAGTTAAGTCCCACGTTGAAAGCACCTCCACAATCTTACAATCTTATCACCGCCCCCCCCCCCCCCCACCCTTACCGTCAGTAGCTCCAAAAGAGCGCAGTCCGTTAGTGCAGATTATTAGACCTAGCACTAGATCCACCAATTTTACAAGTTTATCACTTGCTCCCCCTCACCATCAATAGCTTCAAAAGAGCGCAACTACTGGCAAAGATTATTATACTTCAAAATTGAAATAATTTTTTTTGTGTATATTTTATTTCGCAATCCAAATGGGCAGATTTGCCCAATGAAAAGGTGGCGAATGAAGATAGAAAGCAGTAGAAAATTGGGAATGGATGTAACAGTGATAGAGGTGGAGAGAAACTAAGGCAGCTGATCATCAAACAGGACGTTTGGTACTCTAGTTACTAGGGGCGTGCGGGATCATGCTGACGCGAAACTGCCGGAGCGTGAAGATGGCAAGTTTATCGCTGGGTTAAGGTATTCCACAGCTGGGCGCCCTGGAATGCGAGGCAACCCTAGCCGAACCTGGTGCAAACTGGCGGTTGGCGCAGACCCATGGTGGAGTGCAACCTAGTTGGGCCAGCTGACGAAGGAACTAGGAGGGCTTGCAGATAAGAACTTGCGTGCCCATTCCGAGACCTCCAGATAAGATTGAAGAAGGGCTGAGGCTTCCTGCAGTGCATTCTCTGCAGTTGAAGTAATAGGAAGAGAGCCTGATCGAGCCCGTCGCAAACTGCGCGAGGCGATTGAGATTCGTGATGCCAAGCCCCATGTGAACATAAGCACCGGATGGGACTTGTTGTGAATTTTCTCAGCTTCCCCTGCTGCTACTTCAATATCACTGAATAATTATAATATGAGGCGGGTCACTCAAATCCATTCTGTTCCTGATGCCTCGTCGCGTCCCTGGTGGTAACAGTTTGGCATGGAAGTTTAACCTCATAGTGCATTGACTCATGGGGCTCCGTGCTCCCCTCCTGTGCTAGAATTAACAACATAATTATTTGGCATGTATCCTCACTTCGTAGAGTACAACGGAGCGCTCTTCTTCTCCGTGATGTGCACAGTTGCACCTTCTCTCTCCCTCCCCCCCCCCCTCTGTATAGAGGTGACATAACTCGCATCATTTTTTTTTGGCGCTACACTCTGCGTAACGCCATTCACAGAGCACAATGCGCGCTACCTTCTGCTGCTTCTCCTCCGTGATGTGCTAGTTGCGCCTTTTCTCTCTCTCTCTGCCCCCCCCCTCTGCATACTAGGTGACATAATTCGCATCTTTTTTGGCGCTACACTCTGCGTATATACTGCTCTTGTGTGGCTTCCACGGTATGAATTGTTATTACCTGACGATGGCCAAGTGCCGAAACGTTGTTAAAATAACGGAACTGGTTCGGATGTGATGTGCAGCGCTATGGGAATGGGTGTGTCCACCCGAATTATTTTCACTCCAGATAAGATTTTAGATTTATTGCAAGATTTTTTATCAGACCGAGCACTGAAATGCCTCAATATTTCAACCCAATGTAGACTATTTATTTGGTGTTTTCTACTGTAAGTGTCATTATGAAGTTGTCTGATGAGTCGTTTCGCACGAAACTCGGAGTAACAACGAACTTCTCGGCTATCCGTCGCTTGACGATTTGTGTGTCATTGCTCTGTCTTTTTGACGTTGAGCACCCTCTCCGCAGCTGTGTGGAACAAGATCTTAAGCGGGATTTACAGAAGCTTTTTTTGTGATGCGACACGCGATGCGACAGCCGCGGAACCGGGAAACCCCCAAATCGCACCCATCGCGGACCCCACGCAACCACCCAAATCCGGGCCATTGCGGAAGTTGAGCTTGGCTCAACTTTTGCGATGCGAAAAGCGATTTGTACTAGTTGTACCAAACCGCGAATGTTATGGTGACGTACCCAAATTAGCAAGATTTTGTCGCATCGCTGACTTCTTCTGTGAATGGTATTTCGCGGGATTTCTCGGGATGTTACTGAAGTAACGTCTTCCGCATAGCTACGGGAATTAAAGCTGTGTGGACCCTGGCTAGCGCCAGATGTTACTGAAGTAACGTCTTCCGCATAGCTACGGGAATAATATGAGCTGGGCGTGGATGATCTGCTCCAGCAGTTTGTTGACGATCGGAAGGAGGGATACGGGTTTATAATTGGAGGGGTCTGTTTGACTACCAGATGTGTATATTAGACAAATGCTCGCCAGCTTGTAATCATCTGGTTCTATGCTTCTGTAAGGACTCATTGAAGATCCTGGACAGGGAAGCGCTTTTGCTGTCTGCGCAGTTGCGCAGGAAGAGAGGAGGTCGACCATCAGATCCGCTTGCCTTGGCAGCATTGAGTTTTGACAGCATGCTTCTGACGGCTTGCTTGGACACTGGCTGGAAACTGTCCAGTCCGGAGCTGAACTCGGTAGTTCTGGCTTTTCAGGACGTCCAGAGTCAGTAACGACAGCTGCGAACGTTGTAGACAGCTCTTCAATGGAGGTCTTAGGTGCATTGTGTAGTTTCTTCTGTCCACTAAGGCCATTCAGTAGGGACCTTTCGCATTTGCTACGAATCGAATGCAAAACGAAAGTTTTATTCGACTCGTAATCGTTTCTTGAGACCAGATTCAGATTTCGCTAGTCGTAATGCAAATGTGCATGGCAATTAAGAATACGGCCGGTAGCTTGGCGTACGGGTGTGTTCGTGCACACGTGTATGGACCATGGAATCAAGGGAAAAAAGGTGTACCTGGCATAACATGTGTACCTTGCAAAAGAAATGTGTACCTGACGGATTCGGAGCGTGCCACGAATGAAGAGGCTGCCATTCGTGAAAAAGAGTTCTCCGCGGCGACTCTGACGAATCCTCGAACCCAGGTGACGAATCAGAATTCGTATCGTATCCGTACGCGTGGTGCGAAAGGTCCCTAGTTACTCCGGTTGCAAGTCGAAACTGATCTTTATACGAGGTGATTCGTCATTATTTAACACGAAAGTAAAAAAGCCTTCCGTAGGGTTCGAGGTGCGAATCTTTCCATTTCTTCCTCTATAAATGTAATACTGAAGTCCTTAGATTGCGATGGTGGGTTGTTCATTCACATATTCCTTGGTGTTGGAAAGCAGGGGGCGGTTGAAAAATGGCAATTTTTCTGCATAATATTTGTTGTGGTCATTTCTTAACATCCTGGTAAAATAGGCCTTAGCACCACAATTTCAAGTCAGTTTTCAATAGAAAGAGACCCTACGTATCCAGGATGGTCCAGAAAGACTGGATCAAGAATATGTTCATCCAAATACAAGCCATTCAAGCTTGCATAACAATAGATGTGTCACCCTGATTTCATATGCAATTGTGATCAACCTCTGTGAGTAATTTCAGTAATTGCCAATGTTTGGCCAATACCAGGGCCAACACACCGACATTTCTCCTTCCCAGGCGTCGTTTCCAGTGTGTAGCTATCATATGTTTCCTCTTCAGCTAAATGTGTTGTCACTGGAGGTTGAAACCAGCGGCTATGACTCTCTTATACTCTATTTTACCGTAAACATCGCGCACATGCAGACTGAAAGCTCTTGCAATGTCACTTCCTGAAGGAATATCAGTCTCAATTTTGGAGGCGAACTTGACAGAACATTGGCAATGGCAATGGCAAAAAGAAATTTGACATGACTTTTGCAGGCGCTGGCAATGAGATATTTTACCGATTTGTTAAGAAATGACTCTATGTTAAAAAATTACCAATCACCTCGTAGTATTCAGATTTGAGGCGACGGTTTAGCAGTGTGCTTTGGCGCCGTACAGCGCAGTACTGGTTGACTAATGCCTGGTAGTCCGGGTGCTTACGAGATCTTCTATGCAGGTGCTTACGCTGTTGAAGATGTTGTTTAAGGTCGAGATTGACACATGGCTGGGGTAGAGGGTAACAATGTAGGGTTGCCCACAGTTTCCTAGGCTTGGGCTGCGTGAGTTTTTACATTCGGTGCGAGTAGTATATTGATGTACGTGTCCCTAATGGGTAGGCTTGGGCGGATAATGCTAGCATTATAAGTAGCATTATAGTGTGCGATTTGCAACGACCATTATGCTAGCATTATAACACTACATTTCCACAAAAGTGGCATTATACCCAAATATGGAAGTTTTGGCCACTACAAAAAATGTACCGTTACATGCCTTGTACAAAGAACTGCACAACCTGCTCAAGATTGTCCAAACTAAGCCATTTTCCATGCATACTATTGCGGATTTGCTGGCATTATGGAGCAATAGCAGCATAAGAAAATTGGGAATGGATAGCATGATTTTCTAGCATTTTCCATGGCGTCTACGTAGAACTACGAAACGTGCACAATACAGCCTAAACCAAGCCATTTTCCATACGCACGACTGGTGAATTGCTGGCATTACAGAGGAACAGCAGCATTATAAGTAGCATGATGATACAGTTTTTCTATCATTGCCATTAGCATTATCCCGCAAAATAACTACCATTATCCGCCCCGGCCTACTAATGGGCTCACCTAGCTCGTTTGGGAAGGTAGTCATAGCAACACCACACAGGCAGCTTTTGTGTGTCGGTCTTTATCAGATGATTTAAATAATAAGAATGGTCTCGGCCTTGGATTTATGGCTAATAAAGAACTGCCCGAACTGATTCGTCCTTTGTGGACTCCCCAGTACAGCAAAGAGGAAATGATGCCGAGCCTGATAGGAATGAAAAATAAATTTTCCAAAGCCAGATTTAAAAAGAAGCCCCAACCTATCTCAAACGGACCTGTCAGTGAGCTCTGTATGACGCAAACAGCAAAGGCACTACCCCACACCAGAGTGCTCAACTGCTACAAGATCAGGAGCGAAATACTCAATCAGCGGACAGATCTATTTCGTCCTTTGTGGACTCATCAGCGCAGCACAGAGGAAATGAGGCCCATCATATCATAGGTGAGGATAATATGCCCAAGGGATCCACATCAAGTAACAAACTATGAAACTATGAAACTTACGTAGATTCTCGCAAGTTGGCACGTCGTAAAATACAAATTTTCCCAGATTGGAGTCCCATTTATACGGGGCTACTGCACCTCTTCTTGGATCGCATTTTGTACTTCTGCAGTGTGGAAAGTATCCAGATTTGCACTGGAATCTGTAAACTCCTTGATTAGATTGTCTTATAAGATCCACATTGGGGGGTACCACAACTGAAACTGAAATCATACAAGCAACACAGGTATACAGTTTTTAATTATTATAGATTAGTGCATGGCAGGGAGGACATTATCAATTTTTAGAACGAGGTTACATGCATTATCTCCCTTGCATTATGCTTGTGCAAGATCAAAAGGAAAGCTTTTTACAATAATAGTACTAATAATAAAACATAGCCTGTAAAATGTAAAGATTTACTGAGTACAGATATCCAGTATCCATGGCCAGTGTTTATAATATACAGTAAATATCGGATATAACGTGCCCCTTTGATTTTCGAAAATTTATCACTATATCCGGTGCATCACTATAGCCGATCATTTGCATGTTTGACCGACACATGGCACATGACTGCACATGAAATGATGCGTACACGCTGGAAAAAGCATGCTGAAAGTGCATGCATGCTCCGCGGACTGAGTACCGGTGCATGACACAGAGCAGTGCATGGCAGTGCAGTACGAGTACAGACTGTACATGTACATCAGGGAGTCGTAAAATATTATACGACTCCCTGATGTACATGTACTAGTACTTCGATACATCATGTGGCATGGCTGCTTCTTCAGCGTGTTCTCCAAAAAAAAGCCTGATCCGTACTCGCGTACTCGGTGTCCAACGAGTTGCGTAGAGCCAGACATGAGCGGCTGTGTACGTGAGCTAGCTGGCAACATCATCGTGAGAGGCAACACAGCCAGAAACGGACAAAAAGCGTGCAGAAAGATACAGAAAAGGACAATACCATACAAAGGGAGCGAGAGGTAGCGCAGCCAGAAAAGGACATGTGCATACAGAAACGGACAAGAGCATACAAAGGGAGCACATTGCAAGGGGTAGCACAGCCAGAAACGGACATGTGTGTGCAGGTAAAATAATGGGTTGGTGCAAAAAGAGATTATGAGTACGTCGAAAAAAACAATTGTTTTGTGATCATCACTCTTGATCATTATATGCGATATTTTCCTGTACATTTGATATGGTTTGCTTCCTGAAGTCCATCACAATAAGCGATATATCGGTATAGCCGATAATAGTGTATATAGTGATATTTTAGCTGTATTTTTTCTGATTTGATTTTGATTTTGACGTGTTCTATCACTATAACCGGTATATCATTATATCCGGTCACTTTATAAACGATACTTACTGTAAATATAATAATATTAAGGGTAGGTTCACATATCGCCAGTACGCACCGGGAGTCACCGGGAGTGGGCCTCTTGCAACCTCTCCCGGCGCATTGCAATTACTAGTATGTGAACCAGTGCAATCGTAACAAAGTTGGACAGTGCCGAACTCTTGCGATCTGCCCCGGCGCCGATCCCGAAGAATTTTGACCAAAAGTGGTTTGTGAACCGTTCGCGCCGGTAATTGCGGCTGCCAGACTTTGTCAAAATATCAAACCAATACTTACTTCGAAGTATTTTTTCTAAATTGAAGCTAGAGAGGAGGTCCGTTCGCCATTTTTGTAGTCGCTTCAAGGTGGCAAATAAGTCAGCATACCAGCCCGTCCTTCTCGGATGATCTGCTTGACCATTGTGCAACTTATGAGACAAATACAATTGAAACAAATATAAAATATGATGGATACATTGACAAGTTCTTGTGACTTCATCAACGTTTGCAAGCATAATTTCGACACAATCGCTTACTAGACTGCAAATACAATGTGTAGAAGAAGATCTCCAGTAAAAAGTAGCACCGAGTGGCCATCACCGAAAGACCTTGAACTACTGAAGAAACAAAGAATCATTTGGGCTCATTCTGTACTACTTTGTAGTGGATTTGGTGCTCGAACCGTATGCGCAACGGATCGGGAGCTGGCTCACCGCCGATGTCTTGCGGTGCCGGTTTTGCTTATGTGAACCTACCCTGATAGATTCTCACATGCGAGCAGCCTGGGCCTCGGCGACAACCAGCTCAGCAGACTTCGGAAGCCGAACCGATCACTCATGGTAAAGACCTCGTGAACCCCACAAACACATGATGCATTATCACAACAGGGCAAATGAAAGACGGCACCTGATGTAAAATATTACTTGGGAGTACTGCTCCATCCTCCTGTCCGCTCTCAATAACGCGATTCGGCGATAGAGTGATGTCGCCGCTCTTCCCATGCCACCACTCGCCGACAGCACAACAGGCATACCGTATATTTTATGCAGAGTTCATTATCTGCACCGTAACAGTACTATAATGCGTACTGGAAGTTGTGCGGACCTGTTTAGAGCACATTCAGCGGGCTTTAAACTAATCCAGGGCCCTCGACGCGTCATCAAGAGAAAAGAGAGAGAGAGAGAGTGTGTGTGTGTGAGAGAGAGAGAGAGAGAGAGAGAGAGAGAGAGAAAGAGAGAGAGAGAGAGAGAGAGAGAGAGAGAGAGAGAGAGGAAGAGAGAGAGATATAGAGAGAGAGAGAGAGCGTGAGAGAGAGAGAGAAAGAGAAAGAGAGGGAGAGAGAAAGGGAAAGAGAGAAAGAGGAAAAAGAGAGAGAGCTCGCTATTTCTCTCTGTCCATCTCTCTCTATCTCTCTCTCTCTCTGCTATTGGCGCGCTTGGATGTGATGAAGCCGACACCCAAGGTCGGCAGAGCATCCCATGACACGTCACCACTCCCCATATTCATGGCTCACACATGACGGGTTTACGTGGCTCTAGTAAAACCATAAAACTAAATAAATAAAGAGTGAATGGGAGAGGGTGCTGTGTGCAAGTGGTGTAAAAATATTAATTATTGTAACTCGAGCGCCTAAATCCCGGGTGCACTAGCACGGAACAAAGGCCTGAGATGATAGCGCATGCCTGGCGTCAGGGGTGCAAAAAAAGCTCTGTGCCAGTACTTTGCAGCGCAGAAAGGGTGTGTGGGCAAGCGCGTGTTTACCGCCATATTGCCAGGTGTGTGTTTACCACCATATTTTATCATTAAGCTGGACATTATCACTGCGGACAAAAGCATACTGCTGAATTCGCGGCGCGAATTCGTCTCGAAGTGCAGGCACAACAGCAAGTACATGCTAGCAAAGTGTACGGGCGTTACATAAACTCTAAGTTAAGTCCCACGTTGAAAGCACCTCCACAATCTTACAATCTTATCACCCCCCCCCCCCACCCTTACCGTCAGTAGCTCCAAAAGAGCGCAGTCCGTTAGTGCAGATTATTAGACCTAGCACTAGATCGCACAATTTTACAAGTTTATCACTTGCTCCCCCTCACCATCAATAGCTTCAAAAGAGCGCAATCTACTGGCAAAGATTATTATACTTCAAAATTGAAATAATTTTTTTGGTATATATTTTATTTCGCAATCCAAACGGGCAGATTTGCCCAATGAAAAGGTGGCGAATGAAAATAGAAAGCAGTAGAAAATTGGGAATGGATGTAACAGTGATAGAGGTGGAGAGAAACTAAGGCAGCTGATCATCAAACAGGACGTTTGGTACTCTAGTTACTAGGGGTGTGCGGGATCATGCTGACGCGAAACTGCCGGAGCGTGAAGATGGCAAGTTTATCGCTGGGTTAAGGTATTCCACAGCTGGGCGCCCTGGAACGCGAGGCAACCCTAGCCGAACCTGGTGCAAACTGGCGGTTGGCGCAGACCCATGGTGGAGTGCAACCTAGTTGGGCCAGCTGACGAAGGAACTAGGAGGGCTTGCAGATAAGAACTTGCGTGCCCATTCCGAGACCTCCAGATAAGATTGAAGAAGGGCTGAGGCTTCCTGCAGTGCATTCTCTGCAGTTGAAGTAATAGGAAGAGAGCCTGATCGAGCCCGTCGCAAACTGCGCGAGGCGATTGAGATTCGTGATGCCAAGCCCCATGTGAACATAAGCACTGGATGGGACTTGTTGTGAATTTTCTCAGCTTCCCCTGCTGCTACTTCAATATCACTGAATAATTATAATATGAGGCGGGTCACTCAAATACATTCTGTTTCTGATGCCTCGTCGCGTCCCTGGTGGTAACAGTTTGGCATGGAAGTTTAACCTCATAGTGCATTGACTCATGGGGCTCCGTGCTCCCCTCCTGTGCTAGAATTAACACCATAATTATTTGGCATGTATCCTCACTTCGTAGAGTACAACGGAGCGCTCTTCTTCTCCGTGATGTGCACAGTTGCACCTTCTCTCTCCCTCCCCCCCCCCCTCTGTATAGAGGTGACATAACTCGCATCATTTTATTTTTTGGCGCTACACTCTGCGTAACGCCATTTACAGAGCACAATGCGCGCTACCTTCTGCTGCTTCTCCTCCGTGATGTGCTAGTTGCGCCTTTTCTCTCTCTCTCTCTGCCCCCCCCCCTTCTGCATACTAGGTGACATAATTCGCATCTTTTTTGGCGCTACACTCTGCGTATATACTGCTCTTGTGTGGCTTCCACGGTATGAATTGTTATTACCTGACGATGGCCAAGTGCCGAAACGTTGTTAAAATAACGGAACTGGTTCGGATGTGATGTGCAGCGCTATGGGAATGGGTGTGTCCACCCGAATTATTTTCACTCCAGATAAGATTTTAGATTTATTGCAAGATTTTTTATCAGACCGAGCACTGTAATGCCTCAATATTTCAACCCAATGTAGACTATTTATTTGGTGTTTTCTACTGTAAGTGTCATTATGAAGTTGTCTGATGAGTCGTTTCGCACGAAACTCGGAGTAACAACGAACTTCTCGGCTATCCGTCGCTTGACGATTTGTGTGTCATTGCTCTGTCTTTTTGACGTTGAGCACCCTCTCCGCAGCTGTGTGGAACAAGATCTTAAGCGGGATTTACAGAAGCTTTTTTTGTGATGCGACACGCGATGCGGCAGCCACGGAACTGGGAAACCCCCAAATCGCACCCATCGCGGACCCCACGCAACCACCCAAATCCGGGCCATTGCGGAAGTTGAGCTTGGCTCAACTTTTGCGATGCGACAAGCGATTTGTACTAGTTGTACCAAACCGCGAATGTTATGGTGACGTACCCAAATTAGCAAGATTTTGTCGCATCGCTGACTTCTTCTGTGAATGGTATTTCGCGGGATTCACAGAAGCTTTTTTGGGATGCGACAAGCGATGCGACGCGATCTGCGACGGACGCGTGCGATGCGAACTCGCGAAATATCATTCACAGAAGAAGTCAGGGATGCGACAACGCCTCGCTGATTTGGGTACGTCACCATGATATTCGCGCGGTTTGATACAACTTGTACAAATTTATAGGCAACTCTTGAACCTTTGTACAACTTTCCTGTAGAAAAGGTCAAAATCGTACGCCAAATTGCTTGTCGCATCGCATCGCATCGCGAAAGTTGAGCCAAGCTCAACTTCTGCGATGGCCTGCGATGGCTCGGTTGCGGCAGTTGCGTGGGGTGTGACATGGCTGCAATTTGGTGTTTTCCCAGTTTCACGCCTGTCGCATCGCGTGTCGCACAACAAAAAAAGCTTCTGTGAATTCCGCTTTACTCTATGTATGTAATATATGCTGCGATCAGCGAAAACGATTCTTAGGGTGCGTTCTTAAATCCTCTCGGAAAAGTTGGAGACTCTCCGAAAAGTTCGAGAGCTGTTCTTATATCCTCTCCGACTTTTAGGAGGCTCTCCAAAGCTCTCCAAGCTCTCCAAGCTTCAGAGGTGGTTGAAACTTGGAGATTCCCGCGGTTTGGGATCAGCGCATGCGAACTACGACTAAAAGCCACGTGTTCATTGTGAGTGTACGCATTTCCCTTTTCGCATACGCACATACATTCATCACTCAAGATCGCGGCCCCTTTGACGCTTCATTTTGCTTGACATGTGCAAAATATCTCCGAATTCTTCGAGACCCGTTCTTGAGTAATCCCAGTTTCTTCGACTTCTCTTTTCTTCTTCTTCTAGAAGCTAGAGAATATAAGAACGCACCCTAAGAGGTTTCGTAATTTTTTCGAGAAAGAGGTCGATTTGTGACGTTCAACGATTTTTGATCGCGCTGAGAAGTGCGAGCAGCGCGACAGCGTTCTTCTTGAGCTCCTTGCTTGAAGTTATATTATTTTGAAGTTGAAGTGGTGTCGAGTTGCGACTCGAGTGTTCCTTGATCTTGTTGCAATGGCTTCGGTTGCCAGAGCTGTTCGCCGAGCACACGCGGCTGTCATTGTGTACAGCTAGCTTGAGCCTGGTGGGGAGTGGATGCTGAAGTAGCCGCTGAAGAGTGAGGATGAGACGTTCTTTGGTTCCGACATCCATGTCGACAGCGGGGGCGGAATCGCAGCCATCATGTCCTGCTCAAGGTGGCCGATGACTCGTCAGAGTCGGAAGATGAAGAGTCGTCACCTGAAATAAATAATACTGAGTCTGGGGCTAGTGACGGCAGTGACGCCATGTCTTCAGTTGCTGAGGAAGAAATGGAAGACGAGATTGCGGAACGATTCCACGCAGGATGCAGCTGCGAATATGTCGATCATGTCTCCGCACTCTTCAGCTATTCTTTGTCATTCATTCTAGCTGCCTACTGCACTGTTTCAAAGGTAGTCAAGAGCCCACCCACCTTAGAATGCTGAATATTGTACACCTGCATCGTAAACATAAATAGCACCAGTTAGGAGTACATCTTGTATATTGGTGTATACACACGTTTTGAATCGGAATATTGGAATTTTTCTCGGCTGAGGTCCTTTAGGAGATGTGTTTCACCAAATTTTTAACCAAAAGGAGATTTTGAACATGTTGGCCCTAAGGGCTGTTTCTGCTGGTTGAGGCCCATATACAGACTGGGTACATATTATTATACAGAAAAAAGCCTTCTTCGTTACTCCGATTTTCGCAGACACTTTGTGTACAGATTGAGCATATACAAAAAAGATATCCTTATTTTTAATCCCTGTTACTTACAGCGACCTTTCTCAGTTGGCAACTCGCAACTATAGCTACCGTCTCTGTTTTGACAAATCAGGTAATATGTTGCCCTTACACAGATGGTCGGAGTCAAGGAACACTCATTCACATCTGAGCCAAACAGAGCAAAAAGAGACAGAACTTGCAGTTCGGAAGTGGGGATAGGCATCGGAAGATATTTTTGATTGGTTTAGCAAAGATTGTAGCAGATAAGCGTCGGGGGAAGCTCCCTGGGCACAATTAAGCCAACTCTCGCTATTTGAGAGCAGATGCCACCGGTTCATGATTATAATGCCACCCTTGCACCCATAACGTGGTAATAAATACTAACACTGACACAGCATATATTATAGCTCACAAGGCTACCTCAGACCCTTTTGTAACCGCTTGACGACTGGCAGGGTAAATCAATGTGTCGTCATTGAGGGAACTCATGACGGCCGCCTGCATCCCACAAATCCAACGATCCAAAACGCAACACACATAAATGTCCATAACTCCGGTATGCTCATCGGTCCACGCATCATGAAATTCCTGACAAAAGAATTGCCTTCCGAGCTGGATGCAACGCGCTTGTGGTCAGATTGAGTCAGACAGATTCACAATGTGTCCTTGGTTGGATTCAGAATCACAACCAGACGCGCCCGACCTTCGTTGAGAATCGGCTCAGAAAGATCCGACAACAGCACCAGATATTGTTCGTTTACGTACCATCATCAGAAAATACAGCTGATCTCCCGTCTGGTAGAGTATCCACAGCTGAGTTGGCTACTAGTACACTATGGTGGAATGGTCCAGTGTGTACTTGCGAATTCAAATAAAAAATATACATACTCGGTGGAATGGTCCAGACTGGGTTGCGCAAATCACTCAAGAATGGCCACAGAATACGGATCAAAACGAGTCTGGTCCTGCATCAACCACATCCGAACCAGTGGCAGTTGCTGCTGTGGCTTCGAAGGGTCCTTCGGAAACCAATCACACTCCATTGGACATAGGTATAATCAGCGTATTCGTCACTGAGTCGGTTACTTTGGGTAGCTGCATATGCTAATCGGTTTATCAATCGACAAATGAATGGTGAAAAACAATGACTGACTGCGGATGATACCAGAAACCTTTGGGTCAAGTGCACACAACAGAAACACGATACTGAATTGGAGAAGAATGGAAAAACTCTTGGTACTTTCAAGGACGATGATGGAATAATCCGCTGTGGTGGTTGCTTGGACAGGTCAGAATTACCTTTTCACACGAAACATCCAAACAAAGCTCAGCTTGTTTACGAAACTTGTCGTTTAGTCTTACCACGAGCGGATAATGCATTCTGGAACTTAACACACCCTATCGAAATCGCAAATCCGAGGTGAATACTGGACACCAAGTGGTCGTGTAATTGTAAGAAACATACTGAAGTCATGTGTGATGTGTAAGCGATGGGAATGTAAACCTTTCAGGTTTCCCGTAATGCCACCCCTCCCCAAGGAGAGGATCTCCAGGTCCAAACCATTCGCCTATACAGGGGTTGACTATTTCGGTCCAATGTACGTTCGCAATGACAATGGTGAATCGACAGAGGTATGGGCTTGCCTATTTACTTTTTGGATTGTCAGAGCAATTCATTTGAAGTTAGTGAAAGTGATGGATGCAGCTAATGGGGTCGTTTTCGGCACTTGTGCCAGTGGTTGTGAGACTTACCCACTCACCCCCACCGTTAGGCGCTGCATCTGCCGCTAGGGTTTATCGGGTTTTAGCGGCCGTCGTGAGTTACGGATATGATAATTAACTTCTTTTTTTTTAGTGAAAGATATGACTCGACGAACTCAAAGATTTCATTTCCAAGCATGGTGTGCATGTCATGGGCGTTGCTGAGACATGGCTAGCTGCTGATGTAAATGATGGAGAGGTGTCTATTCCTCACTACAAGTTATTTAGGAAAGATCGTACACTACAGCATGGCGATGGTGTTTGCATATACTGAGTGTCGTGAAACGAATCGTGTCAAACGACGTGCTGATCTGGTTTGTGGATTGAGGTCATGGAGCAAAAGCAGAATACCCTGGTGGGATGTCCATACCGTCCACCAGATAGGTCAGTGGCTTACTGGGATGCATTCCAAGCCAACATCGAAACGAATGTCAAACCTAGTAGCCGAATATTCGCTGGCTTAACGAACGAACGTAGGAATATTCTTTTGGTAACACGGATGATCACATGCCCTCCTCTCAGTCATTTGATGGATATTGTCATTACTATTAGGTATGACAAACGGTAGTGCCACATAAAATGCACTGCCACATAAGGCTACTTCGAAGTTCATATATGCTATGTGCAACATTGGCACTCCGGTATGCACATTAGTGTCAGCCCAAATTTGCCGGCAATTCTTTTGGCATAATATCGAAAGATTTTAGAAATAGAATTGCCCGGCATATTTTGAGCATAATTTCGAAAATTTTGGAGATTTTCACCGTGATTTTGCAGATACTCGAAGTTTCATGTCCAGCGCCAGAGGTACGTGCATGTACAGCTTGGTGATGAGCATTGTGAGGTCAATCTTCACACTTTGAAATGTGAACCCAGGAAAACCGAGCAAAATATCGATGTTTTTCTTAAATTTTCTCCAAAATTTGGTCCGAATTTGGCGTTTTTGAAGCTGTCATTGAGCATATTCAGAGCAAAATATCGTGTCCGCCCGGCAATGCCAAGCATAATATCGAAAGAAGCGCAGCAAAATTATGCGGCATAATATCGAAAAGTCTCGAGCAAATTTGGGCTGACACTGATGCACATACAAGTGCAAACATGCAGTACAACGTCACAGGCAGGCTGTACACACTGTCTGTACTGTGTTTGGCGTGCATGTATGTACGTGCCCTGCATTCGAAGTGACGTCACGAATACTCGAATGCGACTTTAAAAAGAATTTGCTAATGTGACCAACCGAACGAATGTTCGAATATTCCAATATTCGTTTCAACACTACAGGAAAAGGCAATGCAAGGAAGACAGTCGAGCACAGTTCTCATCGGAGACTTCAATGTGGACTATGCCGATCCTCTTGCCAGCCGTGCAAATAGTAGTTTAGTATGTTGTTACCTGTATTTTACTTCACCATAGGTACAGGCATTGCTGCCTTCTTGCTGTGGATCATACATGATGCCACAGCTCCTACGCTATGATGTATAATAATAATAATAATAATAATAATAATGTCTCTTTCCCTCAGCCTAGTGAAAATAATAATAATAATAATAATAATAATACGAAGTAGTGGTTGCGACTTCGGCGATAATTTGTAAGAAAGGGTTTGCTCCCCACACCGGAGCTCGCGCTATTCCGCCGACTTTACTTGACACTTGACTGACTCACGACTGCCATCCAGAGCACACGAGAAGTCCATCGAACCTTCGACTCGGCAAACCTCGGCGGAATAGCGCGAGCTCCGGTGTGGGGAGCAAACCCTTTCTTACAAATAATAATAATAATAATAATAATAATAACTCTGCTGGGATGACGACTACACCATAGCACAGTGGTTAGAGCATCGCTGGCTACAAGCGAGGGTCCCTGGTTCGAGTCCTGGTGGTGACAGACTCAGTCAATTTTTCTTCAGACTTTTCCCGTTTGTCTCTTTCCCTCAAACCAGTTAATAATGATAATATTAATAATAATAATAGTAGAAAGGAAAAGGACATAATTATGGAAACGAGTTAAGAGTAACTCTCCACCACTTAACTCGTTTCCATAATTATGTCCTTTTCCTTTCTACTTTTATTATTGGCTCAATACCCGAGTTTCAAATAATAATAATAATAATAATAATAATAATGTAGAAAAGAAAAGGACATATGGATACAAGTTAAGAGTAACTCTCCATCACTGTAACTGGATACTATATACAGTCAGAAAGTGCAATAACTAGGCACAAAACTGACAAGAGTACTGAGACATTCGACGTCCTGTCGTGCCAAGTTGGAAGGCTGTCGGTTAGCGCTACGGATAGGTGTCAGGTGTATGTAAAGGGATACTGATGTGAGAGAAGAGTAAGTTGCCTGAAGAGTGCTTTTTGCAACACTGAGAAACTTGGAGATCCTTTGTGTCTGAGTGTATAACCCCGCTCTGTCTTAGGACATTGAGCACTTTTGCCGACGCAAGAAATACTTCTATTGTTCTATATATATATATATATTAACTGGTTTGAGGGAAAGAGACAAACGGGAAAAAGTCTGGAGAAAAAATTGACTGTCACCACCAGGACTCGAACCAGGGACCATATAGATTGAGTATATATATATATACTCAATCTGCGGACAGCATGCTGTTTCGTTCTTTGTGAACTCATCAGCGCAGCACAGAGGAAATGAGGCCGAGCCTGATAGCAATGAAAATAAAAATTTCCAATCAGGCCCGAACGTACCTTGCCAGAGTGCTCAAACTGACAAGTCAGTGAGCTCTGCATAACGCAAACAGCAAAGGCACTACCCCACGCAAGAGTGCTCAACTGCTACAAGAGCAGGAGCGAAATACTCAATCTGCGGACAGCATGCTGTTTCGTTCTTTGTGAACTCATCAGCGCAGCACAGAGGAAATGAGGCCGAGCCTATATATATATATATATATACACTCAGACACAAAGGATCTCCAAGTTTCTCACTGTTGCTACTCTGAGTTTCGTGCAAAAGCACTCTTCAGGCAATATATATATATCTCCCTTTTGGTATTTCTCTCTCTCTCTCTCTGTCTCCCTCTCTCCCTCTCTCTCTCTCTCTCTCTCTCTCTCTCTCTCTCTCTCTCTGTCTCCCTCTCTCCCTCTCTCTCTCTCTCTCTCTCTCTCTCTCTCTCTCTCTCTCTCACGACGTAGCCTACTCAAAGACTAGCACAGTTCCGCGAAAGGTCGCTCTGCATGCACTAGTCACAGCCAGAACACACGAAGTAACAAGAGTCAAGAAAACCCATAGTAGAGAACATTATTTTTTTCATCTCTCAAGAACGCCCAGACGGGCCAGAGCTAGTGTACCAGTGCAGCCAGTGCTTCGACAGTACTCCGCCGAATCACTGCCAGAAACACGCAACAAGTAAATACTACACCTACATATACTTGTGAAGTACAATCATGTATATGTTCCGGATCCTCCCAGAAGGCAACTGGTGCTGATGGTGGTCGGTACACACATCCAATACAGATTTGCACTTGTTGGAAATTCTGAGGAATAGGGCTTCTATACTGGAAATGGGAATACCAGCTCAGTACTCTTACTGCTTCACGGACGAAAAAGCAGACACCACCGCCTTTGATGAGTTTTCTATCATGTCGATATAACGTGTAGCCTGGTACATGGACAAGAGCGTCAGCCACACTGGTATCTAACCAGGTTTCCGTAACTGCAAGAATGTCAATCAGACTGGGTGCGTTGAATGGATAGAGGATGTGGGTGATATCAGTTATCTTATTTCTTATGCTGCTATGTGGGCTATGCGGAGTGCCACTCACGGGCTGCTTACTTGGCTGCGGAGCTGTCTGGTGGGGGAGCCTTAGACATCCCTATGCTGTTGTCGGTGTGGGGTGCGCATTGACCTGGCTGGTCATTGTAGGAGGCAGCTCTTGATCTGGCTTCAAGGGTTTGCCCTTGAGCATGATGACATCATAGGGCAGTGCGCACTCGACACAGTTGGTGCGAAATACTTTATACTTTAGTATGCGGCGGCGTAGCTCCTGCTGTTGTCTCGTCAAGTCATTGTCCATGTCCGGGATGAGGGTTGTCAAAATCAGCTGTAAATCTTCTGTGTCCTTTTCTGGCAGATCTGTAATAACCAAGGTGTTACGAATCTCTGCGCGCTGCTGTTCCCATACCGTGTTTGTTGTGAGTGTACCGGCTGTGGATGGTTGTTGTTGTTGTATTCTTTTATTTCAATTCGCTCAGGGCACAGGCAAGACTGCCTTCCCACTGGAGAGAGGATTCTCCAATTCCTACCAAAAATGAGAAATCTGCTATATGAATATGTATGAGAAGGATACGAGAAAAATGAATAATGATGATGTTGGATTACGATAGTTTAGTTGTTATGTGAAATGTCTTCTTTTACAGTATGCAAAGACCACTCAACACTCTCTGTTTGACTACGTTTGAGCTCTGCACCTGCTTTATCAATTTTTGAGATCTTTTGCATCATTTGATGGAATGTGTTTGCTGTAAGATAAGTAAGCTCAAATCTGGTTGTGCTGTCGAATGCCTTTGGGTAGAAACATAGCAAACATCCTCTGGACAATACTACTCACCTTCACAATATCCCCAAAAAATGCTCCATTCCAACTTCTTTCCCGCTGGGCAGAAAAGGTGGTAAGCTGTAAAGATCAAAGTACGCAGATGTGCAGACACATAGGGTATTACAGACTATTCAGTTATATTTCTTCGGACACGAGAATGAGCTCTTGAACAACTCACAGAAATATTACCAGTCAGTATAATTTATTGTAATAACTAATAACTCTTTATGAAACTCGGATGTTGAGCCGGTGATATAAAGAAAAAGGAAAGGAGCATATGGATCCGAGTTAAGAACAACCACCCTCCACTGTCACTACTGTTAAAGGGGAACTGTCACCAAAAAAATTCTTTGTCTTATCTTGTAGTTCTTTGGCTCTTGATCACGGTGGTGTCATTCGTTTTTCTCTGCAATGACTGGAAGTGGGTGAAAACTTGAAAAGAAGGTCCCCAAAATTGTCCCGAAGTACCGAGTGACGTCACGCCGGACTTGACCTCCACGCGTACATTCATCGTCAAAAACGAAGTCCAGCCCGTGTGCTGGTCGATCACGCTTGCCTTCTGAACTCGGACACTTGATGTGTACGTTGTACACAATGAGAACGCCGAAAAGGGACAAAATAAACAAAAGTCGACAGCAGTTTGTCGCACTGGTACTTCCTCCACGAAGCTCTAGCTCTTTTGTTTTATTTGTGATTACGAAGGAGTAGAAGGATGTTTGTTTGCTGTTAGTGTGACACACATACCTCGTGCTTGAAAATGATGTCGTTGTATCGAAGCTGAAGGTGGCGGTGTTGCCCAACCGGCCCTGAAATGAAAGACGTCCGAGTTTGTCATCTGCATCTTCAGCAACATCGCCAGATGAATCGCCTTCACGTACCTACATCGCGTTCCTTTGGGACTCAGGTTGGTGGTGTTATCGCCGGCCGGAGGAGTACTGTTTTCTGCATACGCACTCATCATCGTGTTGTTCCTCACACGAAAAGTTCAAAACAACGACGTACTTCCGTGCTCACAAAATAAAACTTAGATCCTCGCGGAAGAAGTCAAAAGGTGAAAGCTCAGCTGCTTCATATTTGATTTGGCTGTGTAGCTGCACGTGGGTCTCTGCCTCTTTGGCATTCTCCTTCGGTACGACGTACCCATCTGTGTTACAGTTCAAAAGGCACACGTGCACCCACTTCCAGCCATCGCAGAGAAAAACGGATAACACCATCGTGATCAGGAGCCAAAGAACCACAAGATGACAAAGAAATTTTTTGGTGACAGTTCCCCTTTAAACCAGAAAAAAGATGCGCATACAGATGGGTGGCCAGGTAGCCATCGTTAAACTTTCCGCACGTAGTCATGTCATCATTACAAAAAACGTTTTTTGGTCGATAACTTGTTTTACAGTAGAGGATATACAGTCAGAAACAATTGACCTTCATTTTTGCTGAATGTTTTGGAAGCCGTATACATCCACACAAAGAAACCCAACCTTTTGCAAGCAGAAGCTAATTAAATTCACACTTAGGCTGTTAGTTACCTCGTTAGTTATGTCCAGTGGTTGTCTCTTGTTGTCGCACTACATGTCGGGCTTATTGAGTTCTCGCACTTGCACCTTTGTGTCTTTATTGCTACTGTATATCACCTTATTTTCGGTGTTGTAAAATTTCGGTAAAAGCCAACCCCTGACCTTTCGGTGTAAGGATAAATTCGGCGTGCATGGCACCAAAAAAAACAAAAAAAAACAAAAACGCTCTTGCACTAATATCTCCGCCAAGCAAGGCCAAAAGGCTCCACATATGTATACCGGTACATGTTATGTATGTACAATGTACTACCGGTATACCAGTTTATCACTCTCTTATTATTGACCCCCACAGAAACTTGTGATCTCTAAGCGGTCAAATATCAGCATATATTTGGCACCTTTCGCATTTGCTACGAATCGAATGCGAAACGAAAGTTTGATCCGGCTCGTAATCGTTTCTTTGAAAACAGAATTCAGGTTTCGCAAGTCGTAATGCAAATGTACATGGCAATTACGAATACGGCCGGTAGCTTGGCGTACGGGTGTGTTTGCGCACACGTGCATGGATCATGAATCAAGGGAAAAATGTGTACCTGACAAAACATGTGTATCTTGCAAATAGATGTGTAACTGACGGATTCGGAGTGTGCCACGAATGAAGAGGCTTCCATTCGTGAAAACGAGCTCTCCGCGGCGACTCTGAAGAATCCTCGAACCCAGGTGACGAATCTTAGCCCGAGGACTTAGAACTTTTTTCCTCAACTTAGAAAAAATTAGAACTGAAAGAAGAAAAATCTGAAGCCAAATGTTGGGATTTGAGCCCAAACTGTCAGATTCCCAGTCAAAGAATTTGGGGAACATACTACAAGTGACAACTGAAACATTCTGTTTATAGAGAAGTAATGTCCAATGTAAAGTGCATATGTACATACGATGTGCTATTACAATAGTATTCATTTCTTCCTTTTAACACAGATCAAAAGGTTAGGTATGCCATGTCGTGATAAATCTATTATTGCCCTCATAATCGGTCGATATATGAAATATGGACCTCGCAAAAGACCTCGGGGGACCTCGGTCTTTTAATTGTTCTATATTTCATATATTATTGATCGTGCAATAATAGATACATACAAGTTGATTTTTTAATTTGACAGTGATTTTACATATTTTTGGTATTTACGAAAATTTAGGTGTAATGGAGAGGTTTGCTCCTGCCATGCCTGAGTCCCCTGCTGTGCTAGTGGCGGCGGAGGCACGCATCCAGTGAACCTGCACAGTGCAGTGATCCTACTGAGTGACAGACTCTGTAAATACTGTATCTGATGATTCGTTTTATGTGTTGATTCTTCACAACGACTACGCGCTTGGTGGGATATTCTGCGACAGAAAGGACCGGCATATGGGTACGCAGCAAATGCTGAGAAATCAGTCCTGGTTGTCAAGGCCGGTCACCTGACGGAAGCCGAGGACGCCTTTGCAGGGACCGGTGTGCACATTACCACCGACGGCCACAGGTTTCTAGGTGCTGCACTCGGATCGACGGAGTTCGTCCAGAGCTATGTTTCCCAGAAGGCAAACGGGTGGAAAGACGAGATCGTGTTCTCGGCCAAGATTGCCGAAACCCAGCCACAGGCTGCCTATGCAGCATTCACGCAAGGCCTGAAGCATCGCTGGTCCTTCCTGTGCAGAGTCATGGAGTGTGCTGCTGACAATCTTGGCCCTCTGGAAGACACCATCACCAATGTCCTTATTCCTGCCCTGTGCGGTAAGCCAGTAAACTCACGTGAGCGAAGGGTCCTTGCTTTCCCATGCCGTGAAGGAGGCCTCGGCTTAGTCGACCCCACCACATTTGGCGACCAGTTCCGGGCATCGGCAGCGATAACCTCGGCGCTCGTCCGCAAGATTCTGGACCAAGACACCCAGATTGGCCATGTGCTGGACCTGGTACGGTCCACTAAGAGGGAGGTGGCAAGTCGTACCCGCACTTCAACGGCCCAAGCAGCCAAAGAGTTCATCCTGGCGCAGAACACTGATATCCAGCTCTGTGTCGGTCTGGCGGCGGAGAAGGGTGCGTCGGCTTGGCTGACCTGTAGACCCCTGAAGGCCCATGGCTTTGCCCTCTCGAAGGGTGAGTTCCGGGATGGCCTTGCGCTCCGCTATGGCTGGCCGCCAGCCCACCTTCCATCGATCTGCCCGTGTGGTGCATCGTTCACCGTCGCCCACGCCTTGTCGTGCTCTTTGGGTGGGTTTCCCTCACTGAGGCACAACGAGGTACGAGATGTTACGGCTGGTCTCCTCAAACGGGTCGCCAATAACGTCACCACTGAACCACACCTGCAGCCGGTAACTGGGGAAGCATTCCGCTACCGCTCTGCCATAACGGACCCCCAGGCTAGGCAGGATATAGCAGCGAGTGGTGTCTGGGGTGGGCGTTTTGACCGCACTTTCTTCGACGTACAGGTTTTTAACCCTTTCGCGGCTTCAAATTGCTCCACCTCAGTACCCTCCTGCTACCAGCGCCACGAACGGGAGAAACGCCGCTGCTATGAGGAGCGTGTTCGAGAGATCGAACATGCAACTTTTTCACCTCTCGTTCTATTCTCAACACGCGGCATGGGCAAGTCGGCAACAGCCTGCTATAAGCGGATTGCCGGGCTCCTGTCCGACAAGACGAAGGAGCCGTACAACCGTGTAATGGCGTGGATTCGCTGCCGACTTGGCTTTGCTCTGGTTCGCTCCAGCATGGTTTGTTTGCGTGGTGCTCGGCGACGCCCCATGCGCGTCAGCGATGTGGCGGATGCATCTGCTACCTTGGCCGTTGCCGAGGCCCGCTGCCTTGTGTAACTGACTGCAAGTGGTTCCTATTCCTCATTGTTGCTTCTTGTAGTTTTCTTTTACGGTATTATAATTTCACGGAGAAGGCGGAGAGCCCGAACGTGTGCAGTTTTATGTTTATTATTTGCCATGGCGACCCCCGTAAGTCCAAATAACTGGCAGGGCAGGGTTGGGCCTTTTTCTTTCTTCTCGGATTTATTTTCATGACATGCTCACTGATTTTACTCAGAAGTGAAAAAAATGATTGTCTAAAAAAATATATATATTTTTACTAAAAAAAAGTTTAAGTTTCACGTAAAAGTCTTACGTCCGTGAACTTTTAGGTCAAAAAGTGAAAAAACTCACGTAAAATTTGACGTGTTTTACGTGAGTTGACTGTCCCGCACGTACATGTAAGTTCATGACGTGAGTTTTTGGAAGTTTCGCTTGGTTATTCCGACCGAATTTGTGTGAGTTTCCGGAATTTTATCGAGTTTGTTGAAAGATTTGATATTTGCGCGAACTAAACCCGAATCCTGCCAGGCAAAATTTCACGTCACGTAGCATGTGTAACTTAGGGTGCGTTCTTAAATCCTCTCGGAAAAGTTGGAGACTCTCCGAAAAGTTCGAGAGCTGTTCTTATATCCTCTCCGAATTTTAGGAGGCTCTCCAAAGCTCTCGAAGCTCTCCAAGCTTCAGAGGTGGTTGAAACTCGGAGATTCCCGCGGTTTCAGATCAGCGCATGCGAACTAGGCTAAAAGCCACGTGTTGATCATGAGTGTACGCATTTCCCTTTTCGCATACGCACAGCGCATACTATTTTCGTGGCACTCAAGATCACGGTCCCTTTGGCGCTCCATTTTGCTTGACATCTGCAAAATATCTCCGAATTCTTCGAGACCCGTTCTTGAAGAATCCCAGTTTCTTCGACTTCTCTTTTCTTCTTCTTCTAGAAGCTGGAGAATTTAAGAACGCACCCTTAACCTCTACAAATTACACGTAACGTGAGATTTGCACCGCGTTTTGAAAAAGGGCAAACAACGTGTAACTTAACCTCTCTAATGTTAAAATAGGTGATCCAGGACCAGTACCGAAGTTACCGAAATTTAAATTACACCGAAACAGAGGTGTTATACAGTATGTGTATAGGTCACGCATTTTCACTGTTTACTTTAGCTATCTTCTTCTTTGCCCTGTTTTACCACCTCCATACTGTACTTAATCCACTGTTCCTGTTCCTTTGCCTTTGCCTGTATATTTCACCTGATGAGAAGGCTTGAAAATATACTTGTGAAACCAAACACTTTCAAGATGTTCGTAAAGAGCCAGAAGTGTGTCCTTTTTATGAGTATTATCGCATTTCTGTCTCGAAGGAAGCTGTATTCTTTGTTCCCATGGGACTTTAGCTTGTACTGATTTCCGTTGCGTAAACATTCTGATCGTTGGTCTCTCCCTAGCCTAGAGCTTCCCGAGTTGGAAGGCTGTTGGTTAGTGCTTGGAGATCAATCCACTGAGAAGGTTGGTTTGCAACGTCAAGTCTCCGGACGAAGCCGGACGGGTTTAGATGCACGATTTTCGGAACTGGACCTAGCCAGCTTCATGCATGACACCGTTGTCGACCGGCTATAATGCTTGTAATGCCAATTTTGAATGCGAAATGGTGCTATAATGCCAGCATTATGCCACCTGGAAAAAAGGGACTATAGTGCCAGCCATAATGCTAGCATTACCCACCCATGCCTAGCTAGTTTTAATACACGTCATAAAGAGTATTAATGTGGTGACAAAGTTAGGTGAAAGTAGACGCCAAGTGAAAGCCAACAAATCATCTCGGACGTCTAACGTCACATTCTTCGAGAAGTACACTTGGTATGATGATTTGATGCAATTTTTCAGCGCTTCTTGTTGAAACGGAGTATCACAGACACTTCAATGGTCTCCTGCAAGGCGCTTCTCTATTCACGGTTGCGGAAAGTTGCGAAGTAGTTCGTAAAATGAAGAAAGTTGCGAAAGTTGCGATCTCTTCCAAAACAACCAAAACTTGCGAAAAAAGTGACAAGCATCTTTGGGAAAGCGTTAACCAAAAGAGAGTTGAAGTCAAAGCTGGGTTGCGTACAACCCTGTATCTATCATGCACAGAGTGCACATAATGTTTATGGGTTCATCACGTGATGTGAAGTTCTTGTTGCCCATTCTCGAAGAGTATGTACTGGTCCTACTGTATACTGTGGACCTTAAAGGGTTCAGCTGATAGAACACATACTTAAAACGGTAAAGGGTTAAAGGGTTCAGCTGAGAGAACAAATACCTAAAACGGTAAAGGGTTAAAGGTTTCAGCTGATAGGACTGTGGGATACTAGTACATGTACTTTGAAGTACGCACATCCGATGGCAGGGTGTTCAATAAAATGGATCTGTGGGTGGGTGGACAGTCTTTAAAAATAACAACAGAGAGTATCACAAACCCCCGCATTCACGTCACATACATTTAAGTGGCTCAGGTTGGTACCCGCTGGTCAAGGTGCATGTTGGCAAGAGAACAGCTACGATAGCGAGTGATATCTGTAGCAACAATAAATAGATAGTCACACGGATATTTACGTACACCGACCGAACTTCCTTGAACATATAGAGAGGTTCCGCATAACGTTATTACGTTAGTAAAAACGTAGTCGATCGACGGAAAGTCTTGCGTGCGGGGCTGTGTTCCACCATAGGGAGTTTTAGAAGCACGCATATGTAGCTGCCCATGCCAGCTCAGAGCACGGCAGATTGCAAACGAGTCGACCTGAGGAGTGAGTCATAAATTTGACCCCGAATCCACTCACGGAGCACCTCCATTATCAGAGCCCTGTTATATCTACGCACTGACAATTTTTCGTAAGTAGCTAAACTTTATGTGGTGCTGAACTTCTCTATAGACGCACCCAGATTTTTGTAGCGAAAGACAGACCCTGCACTTGGCGTAGAAGCCGCATGTCTCACTTACAAGTAACATTTTAAGGGCCTCCCAAGACAAGCTGCATGGATGGTTCTATTCTTTGCGGACAGCTAGCTCAGGGCTTTTCTTTTTCAAGCGCAAACTATAGATTCAATAATGCTGACTTCATGGCCAACAGCTTGAGTGCCTACTTCCTCTGCAGTTTTTATGACTCTCAGCTTGAAGACAGTCTCATAGCCACCAAGTATCAATGGTGCAATGCAAGCAAACAGAACGTAAGTTATGGTGGAAATGGTGGAGTGAACTGCAATTGCGTATTTTCACGCGTTCAGTGGCACCTCAAAGGGTTAAGCTTTGATTGTCATATGGAAAACGGAAAGACCTTGAGAAAGAGAGAGAATGACTTGCATCACAATTGTCTTGCATGGACCAAAATGTGTCCTGTCCTCGTTGCGTCATCACAGCCGTCGTGGTGCACTGTTGCATTTATTCATTTTATTGTACGGTTGAAAGTTGGATCTAAGATCCAGAGTTTGAGACCCCTGACTTTCGCGGATCGAATATTGTCCTCCGAGTATGCCAGTTGTCTGACACCCACGTGATTGGCAATCATGTTTTCGAGTACCGGTATATTGATCGGTAGGTCAATTAGACACTCCCCCTCATCATCCGCTCTGTTTACAGACCCCCTGGAGACAGCATCTCCCAAGTCCAGGCATTTAGTGACCTCCTACAGGACTGTCTGTCCAATATTAGCCTTCCCAATTCTGCGATTGTACTTGCAGGAGACTTGAATGCTCGCCACTCTGACTGGTCTCCTAGAGACACCACGAATCGTGCTGGAAGGGAGTTCCGTAACCTCTTATCTTGTTTTGGCCTTGAGCAAATGGTGACATTCCCCACACACTTTACCCCCCCCCCCCCACGGCTCAATATCGTGTATTGACATTGTGCTCACGGATTATCCTCACCTACTACTCTCTGTTACATCTCTTGCTCCTCTTGGTGCATCTGACCACGCACAGATCCTCAGTCACTTTCTACTGCCTAACGTTACTGATGCTGTTTATCGTGAGGAACCTGCTGCAAACGGACATCCCGCTGCTGTACCCCAATACCACTTCAGGAATGTTCCTGCAAAGCCGGAATATGACTTTAAATCCGTGCCATCTTCAGTCTGGGATAGTGTGAATGCAGAGGTCGCTGATATTGACTGGAGCTGGCATCTGCGTGCCAGAAACGTGAATGATGCGCTTTCGCACTTTTCTTCCATTCTCAACAGTGCCCTTGAGAAGCACCTCTGGCCATTCGGAAAGCAGCCGTATTCTCACCGCTGCCCACGGCCTAGTCAGCCCCCCTGGGTTGATAGTTGATACCCATCTCCGCACAGCAATCAAGTGGAAATATGATCTCTATAGCATTTTTAAGAAGTACCCAACAGAACAAAACAATCAAGCATACCAAAAGCAGCGAAATTTAGTGAAAACCCTGACGCAGACAAAGTACAGAGCTTATATCCGCTCAGTGCAAACTACTTTGCCGGGTAGACACCGTCCATCGCTTGACCAGTTTGTGAGACAAGCAAGAATTCGAAACGTATCACGGGAAATTCCGTCACTCACCACAGGGACTCAGCAAGCGGCTGACCCTTTGGCCAAAGCTACCGCATTAAACGCCCAGTTTGCCTCTGTGACTCGGCCAGATGACCCGTTGCTCTCTATTCCCCCTATTCTCACCCCCTCGGAGCCCTCAGCTTGTTTCAAGTCCGTCATCACCACAACTGCCACTGTCCGGCGTCATCTGAAGAAGCTTCCGACGTGCAAGGCATCTGGTCCGGACGGCATCCCCAACCGGGTCTTCAAGGCCCTGGCACCATCCATAGCATTCCCTTTGTGCCATATTTTCAACATATCATCTACCACGGGCATATTCCCTTCCGCATGGAAAACAGCGAAAGTCATACCTGTATACAAGACAGGTTCCCGCCACGAACCTGCAAACTACCGCTCTATCTCTCTTCTTCCCTGCGTGTCCAAAGTATGTGAACGCATCTTTTATGATCACTTATACAGACATGTTTCGCCGTTTCTGAGTCCCGCACAATCTGGGTTTCGTAAAGGCGACTCCACCTCCCTTCAACTGACCCGCATCGTGCAGCAGGTGTGCCAGCATTGGGATAACAGAGCGCTTGCTGGTATTTGCTTCTTTGACTTGGCCAAGGCGTTTGATACCGTCTCGAGCATGCATTCAGGGTACGTAAACAACCACTCTCTTGGCTGAAATCTTATCTCTCTGGGCGTTATCAGTACATAACTGTGCTTGGCACATCCTCGGCTGCAGAGCCAGTATTGTCAGGCGTTCCTCAAGGATCAATTCTTGGTCCCTACTATTTGCAATTTACGTAAACGATTTACCTGCAGTCTTCCCTGGAACGTCTCTGTTTGCTGACGAAACGACCCTTCTCACCTCATCAGCTTCCCTCACTGGCCTGAAAAACAACTTGCGTGCTGGCATTCAGGAAGTTCTTTCCTGGATGTCGTCCTGGAGATTGTCCCCAAATCTATCCAAAACAAAGATCATTCTCTTCCCGCCCCAGCCAGAGTTCACAACCCTCATCCATGCCAACTTTCCAAATTCAATTGACATAGTGTTTTCTCACAAACACCTTGGCATTGTGATTGACTCTGCACTCTCTTGGTTACCCCACATCGAATATATCTGCAAAACATCAAGTAAATCCTTAGGAATTCTCTCCCCCCACTGCTCCTACCTCCCACTTTCTTGCAAGCTTCATTTTTATTTAGCCTACCTTCGCCCAATATTTGATTATGCCGATACGTCTTGGGTTGGATTATCCTCTTCCGCTGCTGCAAAGCTTGAAATACACCACAAGAAAATCCTTAAAATTCTCCTCCGTCAACCCCGCATGCTCTCATCATACGCCCTTTATAAAATTGCTCACACAACTCCGTTATCACATGGACGCAGTGCACACCTGGCTTTTCTTGTCCATTCTATTAAGCTTGAGTTGTGCCCACCTCATCTCATGTGTTTTAATTGGTTATCTTCTCTAAGAACTAGAAACTCGCTCTTACTCCCTAAGTGTAACTCATCCACTCGTTTGCGCTCCCCTCTCTTTATTGCTTACTCTGTTTGGCTCACTCTACCCAGAGAAGTTAAGGATCTGACCTCACTCCGCCTGTTTAAGATGCGTGCCGCCCCTTATTTACTACGACATAAATAGCTCATTATCCACATGTCCTTTGCGTCTCTGTGTTTTTCACTGTTTTTATTTGACATTATCTTTCTTTCCGGAGTTGTTGCTGTTCATTTTGCTACTCTTTTTTCCGTCCCCTTACTTTTGTTTATCGCCGTTGTTGGCAATCACCCACTCTCTTAACATTGGCCGGTGTTTCCACCGAGTCTTGAGATGTTGTAATTAATACAATTATATAAAAAATATATACAGTAGTAAAAAAATCCTAGGTTATGTCTTGAACAAAAATATGGGAAATGGAACATTATAACATCCCTATGCTTTTTTGCCTACGTCATCTCAAAGTGGTAGAGCAGCGTTTGGCGTAGCCGGGACGTGTCTGCAGTGGCTCACCAGCTATCTCGCTGAACGTCGACAGAGTGTCCGAATTGGACATGCCCTGTCCGCCCCTCTAAGGCTATGTTTACATGAGGCGTTTCAACCCGGGTTGAGTTCGACCAGGGTCAGATTTCAACCCGCCATATGCACAAAATGAATGGCGCGTTTACATGACGCATTGCGCTTGACCCGGGTTGAAATTTCGCCCCGGGTTGATTTCAACCCTCCCCCCAAGGGGAGGGTGGAAATCAACCCGGGTCACGAAAATCGTTCAAACGTACTTCTGTGCGTATCTCGCGCCAGGTTTGAACAGCACTGCAGTCTGCAGATGCAAATAATGTCGCGCGAACGGATTCACGTGACCATACAGGACTGTAGAAGTGGACTTTTGGCGGCATATCAGTATTTGACCCGGGTCAACGGCTTCATGTAAACGCTCACCTCTTTTGTCCATCGTACAGACTTTCAACCCGGGTCGAGTTCAGCCCGGGTTGAAAGTCTGTACGATGGACAAAAGAGGTGAGTGTTTACATGAAGACAGTTGACCAGGGTCAAATACTGATATGCCGCCAAAAGTCCACTTCTACAGTCCTGTATGGTCACGTGAATCCGTTCGCGCGAAATTTGCATCTGCAGTGCCGTTCAAACCTGGCGCGAGATACGCACAGAAGTACGTTTGTACGATTTTCTTGACCGTGTCAACCCGGGGCGAAATTTCAACCCGGGTCAGGCGCAAGGCGTCATGTAAACGCGCAATTCATTTCATGCACATGGGGGGTTGAAATCTGACCCGGGTTGAAACGCCTCATGTAAACACCGCCTTACAGTCCACTCTGGAGTGCCCCAGGGCTCTATCTTGGGGCCTCCATTGTTCATCGTATAATACGTTAATGATTTGGCAGGTTTGGATCATACCTCACTCAACGTGGACGATACAGCGCTCCATATAACCGAGCCAGGCTTATTACAAGCCTGCGACTCGCTACAGTGTCACATTAATCACGTTGTGCGCTGGATGTCGAAGTGGAAACTCCGCCCCAATGTGTCGAAAATGGCAATCCTTTGTATCCCCCCACGACCCTCCAGTGACCTCACCCTCTTCGTGACTCGGCTTTTTACTTTCCCTGATGATCCCATTGCTATCAACATTGTTAAAAATCACAAACACCTTGGTATATTTCTTGATGAACACTTGTCCTGGGATTCGCACGTAACCTATATTGAAAAGCGAGTTTGCTCCGCTCTAGGCTGCATTTCTCCTCACATCTCCCATCTACACCATGGTTGTCGAATACAAATTTATCACTCTTATGTTCTTCCTTTGTTTGATTACTGCTCTCTCGTTTGGCCCTCCGGTCTATCCTCCGCTCTTATGCATCGGTTAGAAGTCACCCACCGTAAATTACTTCGATTAATATTTCGCATGCTCTTCTCTCAGACGCTATACATTTTGGCTTCCTCTTCCCCTCTCTCCGAACGCTTTCCCCACTCGGCATGCAAATTCATTCACCGTATTAAGCTTCACCTTGCTCCTCCTCATGCACTTGCGCATTTAAGCTGGTTCAATAATAGCTCGCGTACTAGATGTTCTCTCCATTTCCCACTTGCCAGATCATCGATCCTTTTAAAATCCCCTCTGTTCAAGTCCTATTCTCATTGGTTTCGGCTTCCGCAGGAGGTAAAGTCTTCGCTGCATTTTGTTCCATTCTGCCCGCGCCTAAGTTGAATTGAATTGAATTCGTTGTTTTCCATTGCTAGCCTAATCTTCATACTGCTCTCTCCAGGTTACTTTAGTACTCCTTTTGTTTTGTTTTGTTTTCTCTTTTTCTTCTCCTTCTTTTTCTCAGTTGTCCCCACCATGGCTGGTTAAAATCGCCCGCATCACATGCACTATGTCATCGTGATTGTGGAATAATAATAAAATAAAGTCGGTGTCGTATAACCCTCGAATGGAAAGAGAAAGTTTATTTTTTTCGCTCAGGGTCCTACGCTATGCTTTTTTGCCTAGCTCGTCGTGCATTTTATGTATTATTATTTTTTCCTAGAGCCACGTAAACCCGTCATGTGTGATCCATGAATAAGGGAAGTGGTGGCGTGGTCTGGGATGCTCTGCCGACATTGGCGGCATGTTACTCGAACAGATGGAGACGTTTTGCAATACAATGATGTAGCCGATCAGTTTGCTGTGGTATGGTTGGGCATTGTAGCCCTCATGGTCAACGTAAAACACTATAAGACCGCAAAGGTTTTATCTCACCCAATAATTTTTGGAATTTCTTTTGCCTAACTCATATTCAAACTGATTGAAACGGTTTTACAAGACAATGATGAAGCCAATCAATTGAAAAAAACATTTCCTTCAGTTATACTAACATTCACGACGTTCATTCACGACGAGCTAGGCAAAAAGCATAGCGTAGAGCCCTGAGCTTCCAAGCTCTCACGTTCGGATTCCGATTATTTTTCCAAAAAACATGTACTTTCTATATCAATGATTCTTCAATTTGCAGCTACAGCCTCTCTGAAATCAACATCGTTCCCTGTAAAAAGGCGACGACGCCTGTTGGGAATTCCCTAGTAAAATAAGAATAAAAATAAAATGCAATAAACATTCACGGTGGTGGAACTGACCATTGCCCTCAACGACATGATGTCAGGAGTCCCCGTAGAGAAGAAGAATTGCAGCCACTGTAAAGCCGGGAAGAAGAATCAAACAAACAAACCAGCATGTTGTTTAATACGACCAGGACAATATAAGTGTGCCCAACAGTTTCACTTTGGAGAACTCCGTTCGCAATGTTATCCCTCACCGTGATTGCAAAGGTTCACAAGACTTTCGGATGTGCTGATCCACATACAGGACAACTAGCTTGCTTTTAGGCAACTTGCTTTCAAGGCAACTCTCCTCTAACTGAAGCTTCGGAGAAGGAGAAGGAGGAGACAAGGTGCAATCGTATACGCATGCAGGAAAGCCACACCCCCCCCCCTTCCCAATCTGCAGTCTCTTGTACCATCAGCCTTCAATGCGACGGACCGTACGATAGGCGGTCAGCCTTTGGGTCATCCTGATAAAGGTGTTATTATTAAAATGTTTGTACAACCATTATCAGCAAGAGTACATGACCCCCACTCTGGGGGGGGGGGGGGGTATGTACTCTTGTTATCAGTACGCATTGATGTGGAAGCTTCACCCCAAAAAGGAAAATTGATGTGAAAGTGTGCATGCGTCTCGTAAATCGACCAAAGGTCAAGAGCAGTGGTGTCGTATAGACCCGTCATCATTATCAAAACCCAGGGTTTGTGCTATCGATCCCTGGTCAAGAGCGTGTGAGCTGTTGCGTACATTTGCAAAAGGGTCGAGCAGTATTGTACTACGTGTTATTATATTAGCCGAGTATCAGGGCAATACCGGCAGATATCGTAGCCGGTATTGCCCAGACTACGAGGCTAATAACACATTTATCACATGCATACTTCCCCCAAAGGTTGCCGAGGCTAGGATTTGTGGTCTGATCCGGCTCAGGAGCGGTATTGTGTGGGAACTGAACTATTGTTATCGATTTCACTGTACTACTTTTTTCTCTTTTACGTAATTACTTTATACCAGGCGTGGGCCATCCCCTGTACATAGGTGCCATCATTTTTCTTTGTTTCAATAAGATTGTACAATAATAATAAAAAATAAAATAAAAATACTTCCCTAATTTGATGTACTCATCAACGTACACTGCCTTCACACGTGAATTCGGGATCATGGTACATGTAGTACGACAAACTGCGAGGCAGGTGTATCCAACTGGTATTACATCTACATGCGCACCTACTTGTATGTGTACGTGTACAGTGTGTATGTTATTAAATATTATTATTATTATTTATTCTTCTTTTACTGTACTAGGGAATTGCAAACATGCTAACAGGCGTCAGCGCCTTTTTACAGGGAACCCTACAGTGCATTTCAAAACTATAGACGCGTAGGGTTTTTGAAATATTTCAAATTTGGTTGGAACTTTTTGAGAATAGTTTTCGGAATATTGCGTGGGCCATCCCCTGTGCGAAAGGCTAAAGGGACAAGCCCAACTATTTTTGCGGATTTTCTGTCATAAAAAATAAACGTCACAGGCTGCTCTTCGTAGGTGTCCGCGTCCCAGCGGTCCGGGCAAGCGACCGCACCTCAGTGGGACACTTGGCCGTGGCTTTTGTACTGCAATCTGTGGGAGAGCCTTTCCAGGGGTAGTACATACCTGGCCTGGGTACCGGGTATGGACGAATCCCTGGTGTTGATCCTTTTTTGTTCCTTTCCTTTTTATTTGTTTTTGCTGAGAAAGAAACGTTGCTGTTTCTGTTCCCGCCAGCGCCTTTGCTCTAGTAAAACATTGCTGGCTGATAAATGGTCATTGCTCGTGATGCCGAAGGTGAAGGGAAGCTGGGTTTCTTGCCATTTGCAACTCCCTGTCTCTGAAAATGTAGCTTGTAGCTCCGAGTATTTTAGTTTTTCGACGTGCCAGACCTATTGGTATGAGCTGCAGAGATGAGGAGCAACGAAGGCGTTGGATTAATGCGTTGGATTGATGCCAATAATGGTGTTTATGGCCGGACAACGCCAGCGGTTTTCACTTGTCAGGAGGACAGTCAAGTTGGAGCAGGCAGATGACAGATTATTAATTTTGGCGCATTTTTTTGCAGAGTGGGTGGCTTCAGCCGCTTGCCGAAGAGAATCATCTCAGTACCTCATGGTTACTAGGATCTGACAAATGCCTCTTATTGCTAGTCTGCATTAGAGCATAGCAGAATTGATCATGTCACAAGTACTAGTAGTGTCAAGACTTGATATGCTACGATTGTACTCAGATCATGTGGCAACTTCACGGTAATTCGTCCTGCCACTTTACGCTCTCCCGGAATTCCCTGCAGAAGTCACGTGCCTGTGCAGGGGACGACGTGTTTGCATTGCTAACTGATGCAAGCGGATGAAGTGCAGAGCAGATAAGAAGACATAATCTGGCTATTCAAATAGCTTCGGCTGCTATTAATTGGCTGGACTCCTGGAAACGTGGGCAAGAATCTAAACTAGTCCACGGAAACGATGTGACGCCACACAGGAAGCTAAATGGCAAACCAATCAAGTTCTTTGGTAATGAAATCTTTCACCGACATTGTCCGGTTGCATGCCTAGCGTCAATCAAACAAGACCAATGGATGCCACATGTACCTAAAAGATACGCTGTTGATCAACCACAACTCCAATACCACTGAGCAGCGTCTTCTATACAGATCCAATTAGATATTGAAGTATATGAGTCGAAGTTGCTGGTATAGTCTCTCCTAATGACCGCGTATTTGGCATAATTTTCTCTATACTGCACTCTAGAGCTACTTACCTTTTCCGACATTGAACTCAGGCAGTGACCACTCGCCCACAGAATGAGCCAATTGACACAGACACCAAGTACCATGTGCATCCGTCGCAAGAGAGACACGCAAGTTTGCAAGTGCAGTGGATGTACACCCACTGATTTTCTCTTATGCCAACGATATCAGACATGACCTGAGTGAAACATATCAAGACTAGCACCGCATTACTGCCCAATTCCGTAATTATAATTATTGCGATGCCTTGTGAAAGGATTCTCAATGCACACCTGGTCTACGCCACAAGGAATACATCGGATGATAATGACCAGGACAGCTGCCTATGTCTCTCTCTCTTTCCCTCTCTCTCTCTCTCCCTCTCTCTCTCTCTCTCTCTCTCTCTCTCTCTCTCTCTCTCTCTCTCTCTCTCTCTCTCTCCCCCCCCCTCTCTCTCTCTCTATCTTCATCTATATCTATCTATCTATCCAATCTGGGGACAGAACTGTTTCGTCCTTTGTGGACTCATTAGCACAGCACAGAGAAATGAGGCCGAACCTGATTGCAATGAAAAATAAATTCCAAAGCCATATTTAAACCAGGGCCGAATATACTGTGCCAAAAATATCTCTCTGTTTATCTCTTTGACGGCACACTGGGTCCCCTGTTTTCGCAATTCTCCACCTATCAACTCCCTTCTGTGTGTGTGTGTGTGTGTGTGTCTGTGTGCGTGCACGGGTGCAGGGTATATGCGCACATATCTTTCCTTCTCTTCCTGTCTTTACCTGGTTTGTGAATCGGCTTTTTTAATCGCATTTTTTTCGGCTCACTGTTTTATGAGTTCACCTCATTATTGCACACAGGCAAGCAGTCAGGCAGCATTACAACAAATCAGCTTTGCTTCACTCCTGTACAGTAGTGTCTACTACACTCTGCTTTCGCCGCATTCGACAACTCTCAGCACTCTAGATCTGTGTGCATTATGCTGCTACCTACTTGTATTATACTACTTCAGTATTAGAAATCCAACGAACGAAATCTCTCGTATCTGTGTGTCTCCACATGTTTCTCTGTCTGTCTGTCTCTCTATTCTATTTATCTATCTATCTGTCTGCCCCCCTCTCTCTCTCTGGGTCTATGTGTCTCTGTCTGTGTCTTGGTTTTTCTGTATGCCTGTCTTTGTCATTCTCTAGCTGTCTGCCTATCTCGTTCTGTCCGTGTGCCTGTCCCTATCTGTCTGTCTGTCCATCTGTCTGTCTGTCTGTCTTCCTTTCTGTTTCTCTGTCTCCATCTGTCTGTCTCTGTTTCTCTGTCTGCTTCTCTTCTTCAGTCTTTCTCTGTGTGTCTCTCTTTGTCCCTCACTCGGTCACTTTTCTCTGTCTCTTTCTTTCTCAGTTTTCTCTCTCTGTTTCTGTGTGTGTGTGTGTGCGCGCGCGCGTGTCCTCTCTCTTCTCTTCTTCTCTCTCTCCCTCTCTCTCCCTCTCTCTCTTTCTCTCTCTCTCTCTCTCTCTCTCTCTCTCTCTCTCTCTCTCTCTCTCTCTCTCTCTCTCTCTCTCTCTCTCTCTCTCTCTCTCTCTCTCTCTCTCTCTGTGTTTCTCTGAATCTTCGTCTCGGCCTTTCTGTCTGTCTATCTGTGTTTGTCTGTGTAACTCTCCAGCTGTCTCCCTGTCTGGTCTGTCTCTGCTTGTCTCTCTATGTTTGTCTGTCTTCTTGGCCCTGTACTTATGTCGCTGTTTCTCCGTTTGCTTCTCTTCTTCTGTCTCTCGTTGTCCCTCTCTCAGTCTCTGTGTCTTCTTCCTTCTCGATCTGCCTCTCCCTTTCTCAGTTTTTTTTCTCTCTGTCTCTCCCTGAGGACCCTCTGTCTCTAGCTCTCTGAGTCTTTGTGTCTGTCTCTCCTTTTGTCATTCATTATGTGCGTCCCTCTGTTTCTGTCTCGGTCTTTCTGTGTCTGATTGTCTGTTTTCTCCTCAGTCTGTGCTTTGTCTCTGTCTCTTTCTCTCTGAGTCTGTGTCTCTGTCTGTCGGTCTTTATGCGCAGCATCCCTCTGTTTCTGTCTTTCTGTGTCTGTCTGTCTGTCTCTATCTCTCTACCAGCCGCTGTTCTACACATAATGAAATTGTGTGGCACCTCAGACACATTATTAAAACGTATCTCTTTTTCTCTCTGTCTATGCCTGCCACTGTGCTGCATATACAGTTAGTGAAATTGAATGGCACAGAACACGTACATGACTGTATATTTACCCACACGTGGGGCATTCGCGGATGCACCCACACACACCATGTATACGCCCGTATACGCCCGTCGCAAGAGAAGCACCAAATCTGCAAATGCACACACACTTGTACGCTCGATCATACAAGTACACACACACACACACTCATACGCTCGATCATACAAGTACAATGTAGATTATGTAGTAGTGAAGAATTCACATCAGAGACATTAAAACGTCTCTCTCTCACTCTCTCTCTATGCCTGCCACTGTGCTGCATAATATTATACAGATAGCGAAATTGGTGTGGCACATAACATATACATGACTGTATATTTACCCACGGG